TTTCTGATTTCCATCTTGATTTCATCATTGACCCAAAGATCTTTCAGGAGCAGGTTGTTTAACTTCCAGGTATTTGTGTAGTTAGCAGGGTTCCTCCTGGAACTGATTTCTAGTTTTATTCTACTGTGATCTGAGAAGATACATGGTATGATTTTGATTTTAAATTTGCTAAGACTTATTTGGTAACCTAACATATGGTCTACCTTCAGAAATGTTCCATGTGTTGATGAGAAGAATGTGTATTCTGCAGTTTCAGGGTAGAATGTTCTGTAAATATCTGTGAGATCCACCTGTTCTAGAGTCCCATTTAAGTCCAATGTTCCCCTGTTGGTTTTCTGCTTGGACCTATCTATTCTAGTTCTGCCAGTTGAGTTTTGAAGTCCTCCGTTATTATGTTGTTATTTCATTACTTAGGTCTCATAGTATTTGTCTTACAAATCTGGGAGCTCTGATATTGGGAGCATATATATTTAGGACTGTTATATCTTCTTGTTGAATTGACCACTTTATCATTGTATAATGACCATCTTTGTTTTCTCCCCACTGTAGTTGATTTAAAGTCTGTTTTATTGGATATAAGAATAGGTACTCCTGCTTGTTTTTGGTTTCCATTTTCATGGAATATTTTTTTCCATCCCTCTACCTTGAGTCTATGTGACTCTCTCTGAGTTAAATGAGTTTCTTGGAGACAGCAAATGATTGGGTTTTTTAAAAATCCATTCCATCAAGCAGTGTTTTAAGGGGAACATTTAGACCATTTACATTTAATGTTAATATTGATAAGCGAGGTACTGTTCTTGTCATGTTGTTACCTGTTTGCTTTGTGTTCTTCCTTGTGTTACTCTCTCATAGGAGCTGTTTTCACGCTGGTGCATATTGACCATATCTTTTGTGTGTTTAGAGCACTCTTGAGCATTTCCTGTAGGGCAGGTCTAGTGGTGACAAATTAGAATTTCTAGACAAATTAGAATTTCCCTTAGAATTTCTCCTTCATTTATGAAACTTAGTTTTGTAAGATACAAAATTCTTGGCTGACAGTTATTCTGTTTAAGATGACTGAAGACCGGCTCCCAGTCCCCTCTGGCTTGTAAGGTTTCTCCCAAGGAATCTACTGTTAATCTGATGGGTTTTCCTTTGTAAGTTACTTGATGCTTTTGTCTTGCAGCTTGTAGGATTCTGTCCTTCACTTTGACCTTGGCCAGGCTGATGACTATGTGACTTGGTGATGTCCTATTTACAAACACTTTTTAATAGCACTACGAGAAATTTATGTTAAAGCTATTTAAATACAGAAGTCATAATTTGATATTTCTAATGTCTACTTTTATCACAAATTCAACAAATTGACATTGTTTTAGTATCATTTTTACAGCTAAAGATTCTAGGAAATGTCATTCCTAAAAATAACAAATAGCTGATACTTCTAGATTTTGTTTTGCTTTTACTTCCTGGCTTTGTCAATTAGGAAAGTTCACTTAACTTCTCTGGGCCTTTATTTCTCTTATCTTAAAATGAAATGGCTAAACTTTGCTGTTAATGAGCACAGAAGATCGAACTAGATGTTATCTAAATCGAAGGGTCCACTGCATTTGTTAAGAATGTAAAAGTGGTATGTGTGTTTTTCTTTTTATTATGAATGTCTTTTTTCTTAAGGCATAGGCCCCAGACTCCCTGTTTGAGATGAAAATGCTGTTAGAAGCTTGAAGGATCAGTAAACCCTTGATTTTCATTTGCAAGGAGAAGAGTTGCCAATGATGATTTGGGCTCTTATTTGGTGAGGGTTCACACCATGGGGTTCATTTCAGAGAAAATAAATTAATGGCATGTATTAATACTTTTAACACAGGATGCTAGACTCTAATCAATATGTTTAATTTCTCTATTGTGAATCATATTTGCATGCATAAGACTGGCAGTTAAGGGAATCAAATTTCAGTGCTTCTGTGAAATTTATTCAACACCAGGAAGTGACCGTGACTATGTGAGATGTCACTGGATGCTGAGGAAGAGTCCTCAGTCGAGCTGTGTTCTCTCACACAGCTACTCACGGAGCAGAAGGGAAGAGACATTTGATGATTATAAAACACAGTAGGGCGTGTGAAGTGGGGGAGGAAGTGACACGGGAATTCAGAGGAAGGAAAGTATCTGTAGCTGGATCAGTAAGACTTCACAGAGGGAGCCTGGACAAGAGGGAAGCTTTGCTGTGTGAGGATGGCGGAAAGTCCATTTTGGGCAGAGGAGAGCGTGAGTCAAGGTGTTGGGAAGCAAAAGTGTGAAGACTACGTAAGAAAGTCGCTCTGTATGGAATTGTACAAAGGGGAGAGAGACGCTTGGGGACCAGAGTGCCGTCAGCGATGGCCACACTTGCAATGTAGAAACGACCCCCAATTTATCTCTGTGTACATGGAAATTTCATGTATCAGACTTGTTTGTTTTTTGAGACAGAGTCTCACACTCTGTCACCCTGGGTAGACCGCGGTGGTGTCATCACAGCTCACTGCAACCTCAAACTTCTGGGCTCAAGCATCCTCCTGCGTAGCTGGGACTACAGGCGTGATCCACCACGCCTGGCTCATTTTGCTATTTTTAGCAGAGATGGGATCTCACTCTTGCACAGACTAGTCTTGAACTCCTGAGTTCAAGCGATCTTCCCCCCTCCATCTCCCAGAGTGCTGGGATTACAGGCATGAGCCACCGCGCCTGGTTTATCAGATGTGTTTTAAAGAACACTTGTCAAGTGTCAAGTCAGCATGGGCAGAATCGCACATGAGGTCCCCGTAAGGATCCAACACCGTACGTCAGCACTGCTAAGGCCACGTTCAAGCTCTGCAGTAATAAAAGCTGATACGTCGCATCGCTCAGCCGTCCCTGGAGACCAGGCAACACTTCTGACGGAGATACCATTAGCTCTACAGACATCATCCCAAAAGCACACTATTCGTAAGCCCTGCGACACATGGCTAAGGTTCCGCTTCTTTTCTGGCAATGTTCTTTGCTTAGTTAGAATCTTGCAGAGAGAGAAGCTCTTCCCTTGTTCCGACTGGGCTCTCCCTACCAGGATGCTCAGGGTCAGACTGAAAGCTGCCAGCCACAGCAGACGACATGGTGGAGAAAACAATGCCGTCAAACACGACAAATTGAGGCTGAAAACAAATATTCCCACACGCATTGCTAATTCTGGTGCTTCACAGGAAAACTGTAAATTTTTCAATGCCTTTAAACGTTTAATTACAAAGTTTGGAACTCAGGGAATATCTTAGTTTTTTATGTGCTTGATTTTTTATATCATTCTTGACTCTGCCAACTTTCTTACTCTTATTTTTATTTTACCTTTTTTTATTTGTAGTGTATTATATCTTCTCCTACTTAATGCACTCCTTCCTTATAAACTACCTGAAAACATTTTGGATCCAGGTAGCTGGAAATAAATGCAAAACTGAATAAATTAAAGAGATAAATGTCTGTGCTCTATTCCTCCTATTTTACAGCCACTTTTGCATGGCGAGGAGCTGCGGAACCCCGATGCTTGTTGGAGTGAGCGAGTGCTCTGGGTCAGCGGGCTGAAATGGAATCCACTCTACTCTTCTCCCTTCACCACCCCCACCACCAATGTTTTAGGACAAAACACAGAAGAATAAACACCATGGTGGGCAGCGCCTATCCTCATGAGCTTGTTCTTGACTGGGAGTCCATTATATCAGCTACTGCTGAATTTACTTAAGAAGTGAACTTCTACCTTCCCCCTTTCTCTTAAAGAAACAGACAGCTAGAAACATTTACAGGGAGCAGGAAAGGTATACAGGGAAAGGAAATTTCAGTATTTAAGGAACTAGTTTGGCAAAATAAATCTAATTGTTCATATGACCTCTAAGAAAAGGGAATGAATTTCAATCCTAGGACAAGGTTTAACTGACTCTTGAGAAGAATTTGGTAGTTTATAATGTTTAAAAAATGGAGCTAATTCAAAGAGAAGGAAGATAGAAGCATGGAACACACCCACGTGAAAATCAAAAACACTCTTTGTAACTGTTTTTTCTGAAGTGATCTCCTCAGACTGGCTGCGTGGCAAGAGGGGGACCCCTTCCTCTCACACAGCGGCTACATCCATGCACTGGACAGGCAAGAGGAGAACAGACCTAGAGCCCCTGAGGCTCACCCCAATGGCAGCTTAATGCAACCCTTTTGGGGCTGGGAATGGAAGGGACGGTGCATGGGCGGGGGGCAGGGGGATGACGCACACCAAGCGTTCACCTTCCCAGCACCTGCTGGGAGAACAGTTTTGTTTCTCTCAGAATGTTCCAGGAGCATGCCCCCAGCCCTGCCCTGGGTGGACTAGCTCTGGGCAGAGCTGCAGGAAGCGATCGATCGTGGGGAGGGCTTCCCCACAGCCCCCACCTCCCTGCCTCTGGGCAGCCCTAACCCAGCATAGGCATCCCCACGGATTGGCGTGTTTTACGTTAAGGGTTCAGAATAGAAAAAAAAACTATTTTCCAGCCACAGTTAATGCAAGGCCATCTTGCTAGAGCGGCCTCACTCATACCTATTTCATAGAAATGTACTTTGCTGTTTCTACGTTGCTGTCACAGCAGAAAATTCCAGAACCTGCTTCATGTAATGACATTCCCTACGTCAACTGTCTGCATACATGAGACTAATGACTTCAAGGGACAGGATTTCTTGAGACATACATCTAGTGTCCAATCTTTAAGAAGTCGGACAGCAGGGGTGTGGCAAACTGCTACTCCTGCTGCAGAAGTTACAACACTCTGGGACAGAGTCCGTGCAGGATGAATGCAACTTATGAATAATGGATACACAGGCAGACTGTAATTTAAAAAAAAGAAACAAATGCGCACCCACCACATGCATATGGGTAAAAGATACTCTTCCAGATGTAGCTAAGCGCCAGCCAAGGAGACTATGCTGAGCAAGTCTGTGCTGTGCCCCGCCATTCGAGGGACCCTTCCGACTCCAGCCCTATCGACACCAGTGGGACGCACCTGCAAGCAGATGGCCAGGTTCACTCTGCAGCCAAACGAGGTGCTGACGGCCCGCGGGTGGAGGCCCAGGTCTTTGAACAGCTTCGAGAACGACTGAGTGAGCGCGATCCGAGGCCGTTCCTCCGCCACCACCACGCAGGTTCTCACTCGGGACAAGTCCAGTCCTCGTGCCTGGAAATAACGACAGCGACACTGAGTCGGCCTTCAGCGCGCCAGGCTCTACGCGACCCAGAGATGCCTCTGGTCTGAACCCCACATACACGTCGGAGGGCTCAGCACGGCTATTCACGTCCAGGGCTCCCCCAGCCCTGTCATTCATTGAACCTCTCCGGGATGCTGATGAAAACCCACACAGATGCTCAGATTGCTGGGAACGCCATTATAAATAGTTTAAACAATAGCAACAAGCACCAGCAAGAACCACGAGGAGGAAAAGGAAAACAAGGAAAACAACATCCTCGATAAGATAATTAAAGGACGGGGTTTGGGAAAGGAGAAGCCTTTGATGGATTCCTACAAGCTCGGATGTGCAAGAACACAAACAATTCCTGCATTTTAAAATAAGTAAAACTGAAATTCTTAGACAACTTCATAAAAACAGCTCTCCCAAAGATCACAGGTAAGTTCTCATCACTAAGCATCTCACTCTCTGCACCGAGTTCGGTCAGCTGGGCAAGAGCAGGACTCCCACGAGAGGGAATTCAAAGGCTCGAGCACAGCTCTCAGTGGCAAAGCCGGAACTTCGGGGCCAGGCTGGGGAGAGGAGTCAGCCACAGGAATTGCATTTGAACGTAAAGGAGAGTAAAACCAGAGCTGCTAAGAGGGCAGCCACCAAAACCCGCATCGTTCAGCCCTTCAAGCATTTTCAAGGTGGTTCAGCACGTAGGTAACTGACCAGGGTCCTAAACGAGGAGGAGACTCGGTTCAAGGTAACGTTGACGTTAAGTATGTAAATATGATCGTACGTACACAGGACTGGAGTCTCGGTGATACAAATTATGTGTTTACACCTGTGTCTATCTGACAGGTGATGCAGCACATGGTTCTGACAGTGGGTCTGAAGCCAGAGATGCCAAATTTGTCTCTGAGTTTATTACACCGAAGGACGCGGAAAGCTCGTTCGATTTCCCTGTGAGTTAGGTTCCCTCATCATTAAAATGGGGGCGATAACAGTTCCTATTTCTGAGAGCTGTTTTAGAGCTTAGAGGAGCACACAACGTGCTTAGTAATCCCTGAATTATGCTATTATTAATACTTTGGTGACGTATATATGTACTAACAGGGAAAGTTCATGACAACGTACTTGATCATTTTCTTCTATATAGGTGTTATGAGTAATAACTATGTTTTATAATTTTATTCATATGTCAATAACTTAATAATTGCACCTTTATGTAGCTTAATATCAAAGTTATCTTGCATTTTGTTTTCCTGTGCAAGCTTAATGCACTGAGAAAACAGAATGCAGGCGTGATAAATGTACGCTTTGCTGTTTATATGTGTGCAGATAACATGTGTGCACATATCACACAAACAATATAGCCTGTATATATGCAGAGACACATACATATCTGGACATACAGTGAACAGTAGGTTCAAATATAATCCAAACGGGTCACGTGATCATTCCCTCCTACTTACTTGGAACTAGGGATTATTTAATTTACCATGAAAATACGCTGCCAAAACGTCCTCCGTTTCAATGGAGGGAAATACTATTACTTTTACGTGATAAGTAAGAAATTATAAGAAACAGGACACAGCACTGTTTGGTTGGCTGCAAAACGAACTTTGGTTGGGACCCTACACGTCAGGGTCTTCACGGAAAACAAAAGTGAGCGGCTACATGAAAACCTCCTTAAACACCAACGTCAGACACAGCTAATTTCCCTGGAGAACTCAACTGACCAAACAAATAAAAACAAACTTAGGATCTTTCAAGTCGACCTAGTGGGATGGAAGACGTTGATAAAACACTTTACACTTTGGCTCATTAGCGTCGTGGCTGTGGGGAAATAGTCACGTCAGAAAATGTTTTCACATGAAAACAACCTATAAGCTTCGGGTGACAGCAGATCATACCTGGCTTTTTTGGAGGATTGTACGACCATCACCAACTCGGTGAACGGGAGTCCCCCGCGGACTCGTGGCCAGGGCGGGGCGCTTACCTTGAGCGACTCCGTCTGCGAGCCCAGCCCCTTGGTGCAGAGTTCCATCACCGAGTAGGAGCAGAACGTGTCCCGGACCTTGTACTGACTCACGGCGAGAAGCCACAAGGCGGGGTTGGTTTCCAGCTCTGAGGGCGGGATCAGAATGGACTGGTGCCCCGAGTACACGCTGCGGAGACAGAGGAGGCTGTCAGGGCGGGGCGGGCGCCAACCTGCGCAGCGGGAAGGCTCGCGACAGCCGGCCGGAAGACAGGGCAGTAAACCAGCTCCGCAAGATAGAACCGTGTTTGTGAAGACACTCTGACAAGCACATGAGCGCCGCAGCAATTACCACACAGGGTCACTGCCGTGGTCAGCACGTGTTTAAAACCGCCGAGTGCTGTGACACTCGCGGGATTCTCTCAAAGCTGCTACGTTAACAAACCGGATCCTCGTTCACAGCAGAAAACACAGGGATCGAATTTTGGTAGAAATGTCTGGAAGTTCAGAGCAGGGGATGGAAAACCACAGATGCCGCCTGTTTTTACAGACAAGGTTCCGTTGGGACAGGGGACCACGCGTGGGTAAGCGTGGCCTCCAGCAGCTTTGAGCTGACAGAGACCGCAGGGCCCAGACGTGTCCCCGACGCCCACTGAGGGGGACGTGGGCCGCGCTGCTCAGACACGGGCTTCCAGCGTAAGGAGAAGAGAACTATGACGATGAGAGTTAGTCACGCAGTATTTTTAAGTTCAGATTTTTACTTTAAAATCATCTGAAGAAATCAACAAACAGAAGATTATAATCATTCTTTTATTTTACCTTTGTATTATTGGAGAGCACATTTAGGGAGACGAAGAAAAACAACAGATTACACATTTTAATTCATTAAGGTTAAGTGTGGACTTGGAATGAAGTATTTGTTAAAAACTATATTTTTTATAGCTTTAATATTTTTGGTTTACTACTAGGAATGAGCATTAATAGATGTCATACGTTATAATAGAATATCCAAAATAAATCACCTTCTAAGATTTAAATAAAAGGGATGTTCTAGCTACACAAAATTTCACTGGTAAAGTAGCACATTAGGCCTCGCTAACTACTAATCCCAGTTCTTGTATGTGGCCAATCTCAAAATTTTCAAAACTGCTTAAAAGAGAATCCCACTAGTTAAAAAAAATATGTAAGGAAATTAAGTTTGTGAACAAAATCTACTTCAAATAGGACTCTTGGTATGAAAACGATTTTTCAGGGAACGTAACAAAGGGCGTTTTGGAACCAGTTTCCATTTCTGTCTTTATTCCTATATCCCAAAGTTTCACTTATTTTTCCTAAAAGGGAATACAGACGACCCTCTGTACCTGCAGGTTCCCCATCCATGGCTTTAATCAAGCACAGAGCAAAAACATACGGGGAAACGATTGCGCCTGTACCGAACATGGATGGGTGTTTTTGTTATTACTCAATAAAAACACAGTACGGTAACTGTCTACACACAGCACTTGTGCTGTGTGAGCCGTCACGAGTAACCAGAGAGGATCCAAAGCGCATCAGGAACTCGAGTTCCTGGACCGCAACGTCTGAGGGAGGCCCCGGAGCCCACCCCAGGCCCGAGAAGGCTCCGCGGCAGCTGACAGCCGGCGCGAAGTCTGGAAGACGCGGGACCTGAATGACCACCGAATGACCACCGACCGAGGCAGACTCCAGGCTGGCGTGACCACTGGGAACCGAGGCACAGAGCCTGGCCCACGGCCAGGAGTCTACGGGGAGAGTGAGGGGCCGCAGCTTTGAGAACAAGGCAACTGCCCCCGTAGGTTCCCTCGAACCACATCGAGATCTGCGAAGCAGGGACACACCACAGGCGTGTCCCCAAGAGCTGGTCCGTCAGGAGAGGCTCGGGGACAGGTCCTGCGTCCTGCAGGCCAGGCTGCGCTGGGGGCTGCCCAGCAGGGCCAAAGGTCTAGAAAGGAGAGAGTATGATTTCTTTTTTTAGAAAAAGGTACTGAAGAGGAATCTCACCTGCAGAGGCACCAGAGGACAAATCCGAGTCCACAGTAGGGGTCCAGACAGATGGCCACTTCTCTAGAGGGGTAAAGTTCACACTGCAGCTTAATGGATCGGCAGAAGGCACTGGTGGCTGCGTGAGACATCTGCGAGGCGACAGGGACACGTTAAGTGCATGGGACGGGACACTCAGAGACACATGCAAGGTGACAAGGACATGTTAAGTGAGACCTGACACTAATCGCCCAAAGACACTGTCAAGACCAGGACGACAGGCCCAGCCCGGGCCACGTGACGTCAGGGAGGGCAGGCTGCTGTTCTCACTGGCGTCCCCATTCCCAACAAGTAAACCACGCTCAAATCTCGCGGTCCTCCAGGACCTGGTAACTCCGGTGACCGAGACGATGACGTCCAGGATTTGCACAGCAGGTCATACATAAAGGGGTCCTCGTGTGACCCCCAAAGCAGCCCATAAGGTAGGTGGAGACACCACGGTTCATTCCCTCCTCGGAGGAGACCAGGCCCCATTCCCGGGGCGTCTCCAGGGCGTGACCCAGCAAAGACGCTGGACAAACCACTCCATCTAAGAGAGCAGGAAACGGAGGCTCAGAGAAGTGAGAGCATTTGCTGAAGGTCACGTAAGCCGCAGTGGAGTTAGAGGCCTGCCTCTCACACCAAGCCGACGCCCCTTCCACCACGACCACCCACAGAGAGACGCAGCCGGAGTCCCACACGCTCCGCCATGGAAGCCGCAGAGAGGAGCCCCCGCCCTCCCCTCCCAGGCCCACCACGGCCAGGACGAAACATGAATTACTTCCAAATACCGTAAGATATATTTAATAAAATCAGTTTTCTCACGGAAGGTTCCTAGCCAAACAAACCTAAGAGGGAACAGGAAACAGACGTTCTGTGGTTCCCATCATGGAGAAAATACTTTGCTGGACAAGCTCGTCTCTCCCAACTTCTGAGGCAGGTTACTGAACACTCGGTGACATTTTTGTCCGAAAGCTGACAGTAAATGGAAATCTCTTTCTGGGAAAAATGGTCACCTCCGCGACCTGCGAGTCCACAGCGGGACACACCCGCCCGGACGGTCTCAGCTCCGCTCCGTGCTTCTCCACAAGCTCCGCACACGGGATTTTCACCGACTGACGTCACATGTCACTTTGGGTGTTCGTGACACAAATCAAATAGTCAAAAGATCAAGAAAAACTTCTGTACGTTTGAGAGGAAGGAAGTCTAGCTGCTCATCTCTCTGGGTCTTCCAGGGTGTGTAACTTAGATTAA